CGCTTTCACCCTTGCCACCTTTCTGGGTTATTTGTATCTTTGTCACCTGGGGAAGAAGGAAAAACTAAAGAAATCAATTTAGGTCATATATGGACAACTCCGGAGGGGACAGGGAGAACCAAAACATACGTATGCATTTAAATCAAGTTGGGCTTTAAAAATCACTCCTTTCCAGGAGGGAGAGCATTAGGACAAATGCCTAATGCATGCGGGGCTTAAAACCTAGATGATGAGCTGATAGGTGCAGCAAACCACTGTGGCAGGCGTGTAACTATGTAACAAACCTGCATGTTCAGCACATGTATCCCAGAACTTAGAGTAAAATTAAAAAAAAAAAAAGCACTCTTTCCCAAATGCCTCCATTGGCAGTCCCTGGGGTACTTGTTAACCAGGCAGGTTCCTTGGCTGCCCCTCCCTCCCCTCTCCTCCCACCTCCCACTGAGTCTGAATATCCCTGCCGGCTCTGGGGTCTGTGTGTATGACTAGTCTGGTCATCAGACGGTTTGGGAAGCTGCCTACATGAACATTGTTGGCTGTGGGGTGTCTGCTTTGTCCAGGAATACTGGCAGCCAGCTATGACGCAGCAGGAGCCACTCTGCTGTAAAATGAGGCTTGCTGTCAAAATGAACTAAAACACATTTGATCAGCGTGCCTTTGGTTAGAGGACTTCCCTCACGTCCTTTTGTGTCCGCTGTAGCTTGGAATTTTAGGGCTTTATACACCTGGGGAGCAGATGCAGATCTGGATGAGAACTGGAAGGCAGGGTGTCAGCCCCAGGCCTCACACTTACTAGAGTTCTGGCCTCAGACAAATCTCAGCACTGCAAGCCTCAGTGTTCTCATCTACAAATTGGGAATAAAACTGGATGGCCAATCTGAGAATTACATGAAGAAATGTTCAAGAATGCAATCTCTATAAAATTCCAATGTCATTTTTCATAGAAGTAGAAAAAAATAATCCTAAAATTCACGTGGAACCACAAAAAATCCTGAATAGCCAAGGCAATCATGAGCAAAAAGAACAAAGCTAGAGGCATCACACTACCTGACTTTAAACTATACTACAAAACTATAGTAATTAAAACAGCATGGTACTGGCATAAAAATAGACACACTAAATAGACTGAAGAGTCCAGATATGATTCCACACGTGTACAGGCAATTGATTCTTTTTTTTTGAGACACAGTTTCATTCTGTCTCCCAGGCTGGAGTGCAGTGGCACGATCTTGGCTCACTGCAATCTCTGCCTCCTGAGTTCAAGCGATTCTCCTCCCTCAGCCTCCCGAGTAGCTGGGAATACAGGTGCCCACCATCACATCCAACTAATTTTTGTATTTTTAGTAGAGACAGGGTATTGCTATGTTGGCCAGGTTGGTCTGGAACTCCTGACTTCAAGTGATCCGCTCATCTTAGCCTCCCAAAGTGCTGGGATTATAGGCGTGAGCCACCATGCCTGGCCTGATTTTTGACAAAGATGCCAAGAATACACAATGGGGGAAGCATAATCTCTCCAATAAATGGTGTTGGGAAAACTGGATATCCATGTGCAGAAGAATGAAATGAGACCCTTATCTCTCATCACATATAAAAATCAACTCACATTGAATTAAAGCCTAAAATGTAAAACCAGAAAGTGTAAGACTTCTAAAACAAAACATAAGGGAAAAACTGTACAACATTGGTTTGGACAGTGATATTTCACTTTGACCCCAAAAGCACAGGCAACAAAAGCAGAAGTAGACAAATGGGATCATATCAAATGAAAAGGCTTCTGCACAGCAAAGGAAACGCTGAACAGAATAAGAAGCCAACTTACGGATTGGGACAAAAAAATTGCAAACTATACATCTGGTAAAGGGTTAATATCCAAGACAGATAAAGAATTCAAACAGCAGTTTGGGTGCAGTGGCTCCCAAACTGTAAACCCAGCACTTTGGGAGGCTGAGGTGGGTGAATCCTGAAGTCAGGAGTTTGAGACCAGCCTGGCCAATGTGGTGAAACCCATCTCTACTAAAAATACAAAAATTAGCCAGGCGTGGTGGCACGTGCCTGTAATCTCAGCTACTCAGGAGGCTGAGGCAGGAGAATCACTTGAACCCGGGAGGTAGAGTTTGCAGTCAGTCGACATGGCACCACTGAACTCTAGTCTGGGTGACAGAGCGAGACTCTGTCTCAAAAAACAAAACAAAAACCCCCAAAACAAATCAAACACTTCGGTAGCAAGAAGACAACTAACCCAATTAAAAAATGGGCATGAGACCTGCATAGACATTTCTGAAAATGAGACGCACAAATGGCTGGCAGATGTGAAAAAACAATGCTCCACCTCACTAGTCATTAGGGAATGCAAATTAAAACCACAACGAGCTCTCGCCTCACACCTGTCACTGTCAGAATGACTATTATCAGAAATACGAGTGTGGAGGGTGTGAAGTAAAGAAAACCCTTGCCTATTCTTGGTGAGAATGTAAATTAGATTAGCCATCATGGAAAACAGCATGGAGATTCCTAAAGCTAAAACCAGAGTTCCCATATGATCCAGCAGTCCCTGCTAGGTATTTATCCAAAGGAAAGAAAATCAGTACCTGCACACCCATGTTTATTGCAGTACTATTCACAATGGCCAAGATTTGGAACCAACCTGTGTCCATCATAGATGAGTAGATAAGGAAAATGTGGTATAAGTCAAGGTGGAATATTATTCAGCCTGAAAAAAGAAGGAAATCCTGTCATGTGTGATGTCATGGGCGGAACTGAAGAGCATTACGCTAAGTCAAATAAATCAATCACAATTGAGGGACAGATACCACATGTTCTCACTCATATGTGGAGTCTCAGACAATTGAACTCAGAAGCAGAGAATAGAGTGGTAATTACGGAGGCCAGGAGTTGGGAGGATGGGGAGATGATGGTCAGAGAGCACACAGACAAGAGGAATGACGTTTTATCTGAGCTCTGTCGCACAGTGTGTTGAATATAGTTAACAGCAGTGTATTGTACATTTCAAAACTGCTAGGAGACTAATTGCTATGTTACCACCACAGAAAATGATAAGTATTTGAGGTGATAGATCTGTTAATTAGCCTGATTTAATTATTCCACATTCTATTCATAAGCATACCATCACTTTCTTTCTTTCTTTTTTTTTTTTTTTTGAGACGGAGTTTCGCCCTTGTTACCCAGACTGGAGTGCAATGGCACAATCTTGGCTCACTTCTACCTCCGCCTTCTGGGTTCAAGCAATTCTCCTGCCTCAGCCTCCCGAGTAGCTGGGACTACAGGCACACACCACCATGCCCAGCTAATTTTTGTATTTTTAGTAGAGACGGGGTTTCACCTTGTTGACCAGGATGGTTTCAATCTCTTGACCTCGTGATCCACCCGCCTTGGCCTCCCAAAGTGCTGGGTTTATAGGCGTGAGCCACCGCGCCCGGCGGCATACCATCACTTTCTACCCCCGAGATATACACAATTATAAACCGTCAATTTATAATAAACATTTTAATGAAACAAAAAATAATGTACAAGAGAGTCAGGTACAGTGGCTGGCATCTGTAACTCCAGCACTTTGGGAGGCTGAGGCAGATGAATCACTTGAGCCCAGGAGTTTGAGACCAGTCCCGGCAACATAGTGAGACCCCGTCTCTACCGAAAAATAGAAAAAATTAGCTGGGCATGGTGGCAGGTGCCTGTGGTCCCAGCTACTCAAGAGGCTGAAATGGGAGGATTGCTTGAGCCCAGGAGGTGTCAGTTGCAGTGAGCCATAATTGTGCCACTGCACTCCAGCCTGGGTGCAGAGTGAGACCCTGTCTCAAAAAAATAATAATGTGTAAGGAAGTGTCTTGAAAAACTTCACCTTGTGATAGTGGGTATAGTAATATTGTTAAAAATGGGAATTTGGTCATTTTTTTAATATACTGCATAGCCTCATTCAAATTCTATAAATTCTTAATTTTAGGTGATGTAGACCTGATGATTCTTACTGAAACACCTTGATTTTAGTACTCGTCCTTATATGTTAAAGGATGTCATGCTTTTGGTGAGAATGGTGCTGTGTGGATCAGTGATTACAGGATTTGTATGTATTTGGTGCCATTTTGTTTTTCTGTGCATTGTCAGGGAATGAATGAATTGTTCTAACCAAGATAATGTTCCAGTGAAAATCTTCTAGAATAGACAAGGCACGGTGGCTCACTCCTGTAATACCAGCATTTTGGGAGGCCAAGGCAGGAGGATCACAAGGTCAGGAGATCAAGATCATCCTGGCTAACAGGGGGAAACCCCGTCTCTACTAAAAATACAAAAAAAAAAATTAGCCAGGCATGGTATCTTCAGCTACTTGGGAGGCTGGGGCAGAAGGATCGCTTGATCCAGGAGGCGGAGGTTGCAGTGAGCCGAGATAGCACTACTGCACTGCAGCCTGGTAACAGAGCAACACTCCATCTCAAAAAAAAAAAAAAAGGAAATCTTCTAGAATATTATGCTGTTCTGGCTATCTAAGGACAGAGTTAATCTCAATTGCTGTGGGGCTTATTCAAACAGGCGCTCTGGTGATGTCCTCCGACTTTGGATTGGGTTTCCAGTGCCATCCCTAGTGTCTGCAGAGGCTGGCTTCTTCTGCTTCAGCCTCTGCTAGTGGTATGCTTTCCTGTCTGCACTGATGGGACCCTCGGAGTCTAGTCTTGCACCGGTTGAATCCCCTGGCCTTACCTGGGAGAGCACTGCGTGGGCTCTGTGGCAGCTACCCTCTAGTCCTCAGAAGCTTTTCCTTATTGCTCACAGTGGAGTTCCAGCTGTGTCTCCCATGCTAACAAGCACTATGAATCTACCCATCTGTAACTCTTTAAGAATTTTCTCATTGAGCCTCCAATTTCGGCCAGTGTCTTAGTCCATTTGTGTTGCTATAAAGACATACCTGAAGGTGGGTAATTTATAAATAAAAGAGGTTTCTTTTCTTTTCTTTTCCTTCTCTCTCTCTCTGTTTTTTTTTTTTTTTTTTTTTTTTTTTGAGATGGAGTCTTGTTCTGTCGCTCAGGCTGGAGTGCAGTGGCACCATCTCAGCTTATTGCAACCTCTGCCTCCCAGGTTCAGGCAATTCTCTCTGCTTCAGCCTCCTGAGTAGCTGGGATTACAGGCATGCTCTACCACACCAGGCTAATTTTTATATTTTTTAGTAGAGATGGGGTTTCATCATGTGGGCCAGGCTGGTCTCGAACTCCTGACCTCAGATGATCTGTCCACCTCAGCCTTCCAAAGTGCTGGGATTACAGGCATGAGCCACCATACCCAGCCAAGAAAAGAGGTTTCTTTGGCTCATGATTTTGCTGGCTGGGAGACTGGGCATCTGGTGAGGGCGTCCACTCGCACGACACAAACACTTCCTGTTAGGTCTCACCTCCAACACTGGGGATCATATCTCAATACTGGAGATGGTGGGGACAAATATCCAAACGATAGCATCCGGCTCTGTGTCTGGAAGAAGTGTGTTGTCCACACACATGCACAAAGACATGTCCACTCTGGATCTCCTCACGGGGGATTTGTTGAAATGCAGATTCTGATTCAGGAGGTCTGGGATAAGGCCCGAAGTGCCACATTTCTAACAATTTCCCAAGAGAGGCTGCTGCTTCTGTGCTTGGACCATTTCTTTGCATAGTGAAGTTTAGAGCAGGTGCACAGACCCAAACACCTGCATGAACCAGACAGGTGATGTGGGAGCCCAGGTGTGGGACATGGGAAGTGGTGGGTCACTCATGGGCTAGGCTTGCCCCGCCTAGCAAGCTACAGTTTCTCTCTTCCTTTTTTGAGGTGGAGTCTCGCTCTGTCACTCAAGCTGGAGTGCAGTGATGTGATCTTGGCTCACTGCAACCTCCACCTCCCAGGTTCAAACCATTCTCCTGCCTCAGCCTTCCAAGTAGTGGGATTACAGGCGCGCGCCACCATACCCAGCTAATTTTTGTATTTTTTAGTAGAGACGGGGTTTCACCATGCTGGTCAGGCTGGTCTCAAATTCCTGACCTCAGGTGATTGGCCTGCCTTGGCCTCCCAAAGGGCTGGGATTATAGGCATGAGCCACTGTGCCTGGCAAGCTACAGTTTCTATAAAAGCACTGTTCCATAAAGAAACACATCTGCACACTGAATTCAGCTCTTGGCACCTGGTTCAGACCTCTGCTCTAGAGTCCAGATCTCTGGAGTTTGCAGTTAAACTAATCTGGTCACTCACTGAGTCCTTCAGTAGCCTCCCAGCGAGCAGTTGACCTGCCAGGACTGTTACAGGAGTGGGTAGCTGCCACTTTGGACCGGCTTGTCCCATTGTTGAGAAGGAGTGTGAGTGTGCCAGTGTTTAAGTGCCTGCACCATCCTCGCTTTGTGCATGATTCCATTTGAAGAAGTGGTTCTTCTCATCTATCTCGAAGTGGTTCATCCGCTTCATTTTACAGATGAGGACAGTGGAGCTGGAGTTTAAACAGTCACGGCAGCCCAACTACTGCTCTGTGAAGCGGGGATTGAAACTCAGGACTGGCAGCCTTTGCCCATCTGCTGCGCTTTAACAAAGTATCTGAGACTGGGTAATTTAGAAATAATAGACATTTATTTCTCACAGTTCTGGAGGTTGGAAAGTCCAAAATCAAGGTACTGGTAGGTTCAGTGTCTGGTGAGGGCCTGGTCTCTGCTTCCGAGATGGTGACTTGAACACTGTGTCTTCACATGGAATGGACAGAAGAGCACAAAAGGGCTGAACTCACTCTGTCAAGCCCTTATATAAGGGCACTAATCTGATCCATGAGGACGAAGCCCTGATGGCCTTATCACCTCACAAAGGCCCTACAGCTCAATACTGTCATTTTGGGAGTTAAGTTTTTCTTGTTTGGTTTTGAGATGGAGTCTCGCCCTGTCGCCATGCTGGAGTGCAGTGACATGATCTTGGCTCACTGCAACTGCCAACTCCCTGGTTCAAGCAATTCTCCTCAGCCTCCTGAGTAGCTAGGACTACAGGCACGAGCCACCATGCCCAGCTAATTTTTGTATTTTTAGTAGAGACAGGGTTTCACCATATTGGCCAGGATGGTCTCGATCTCCTGACCTCATGATCCACCCGCCTCGGCCTCCCAAAGTGCTGGGATTACAGGTGTGAGCCACCTCACCCAGCTGGGAGTTAGTTTTGACACCTAAATTTTGTAGGGGACACTGCTACTCACACCAAAGCCCTCTCTGAATAATACAGGGCTACTGTTTACTGTCTCTGTGTGCCAGGCACATGCATTAGTTCTAATCTCACAGAAATCCTGCAAGGTATGTGGAATGATTCCTATTTTACAGATGTGTAAACCAAGGCTCAGAGGTTAAATAACTGGCCCAAGGATACAGAGAGTGGTGGAGCCATGGTGTGAGCCCGTATCTAGCTGACTCCATTCCCCTAACCCATGCTGGTGGAGCCGTGGTGTGAGCCCGTATCTAGCTGACTCCATTCCCCTAACCCATGCTGCAGGGACAGCTGGTTTCTGGCATCAAAACCTAGGGGTGGCCTGAGGATGAAGAGGGGTTACCAGAAGTGGGACTTCAGCGAATTGTCTCCTTTCTTTTTTTCTTTTCTTTCTTTCTAAGACAGAGTCTCGCCCCGTTGCCTGGGCTGGAGTGTAGTGGTGCAATCTCGGCTCACTGCAATCTCCGCCTCCTCCTGGGTTCCAGCAATTCTCCTGCCTCAGCCTCCCCAGTAACTGGGATTGTAGGTACCTGGCATCCCGGGTTACACATCTGCAACATTTATTTTTTAAAGGAATGGATTTTGAGAGAAAACAACGTGGTGCAAAAATATGGAATAGAAAATAAATACAAATGTAGGCTATTTTGCTAATTGTTTTATAACCACAACAAACTAGTACAGAGAATGCCCTGTACACAACACAAAGGTTCAAACATCAAGGTGTTCCCTTAGCAAGGCTGAAAATTTCAGTCTCTGGTATTTGGAATTTAGGCTGCAGTCCTTTTTTGGATGGATCACTGGGTGTGTGGCACAACAGTCCATGCTTTTTTTTTTTTTTTTTTTTATTAAATGGAGTCTCATTCTGTTGCCCAGGTTGGAGTACAATGGCCTGATCTCAGCTCAATACAACCTCCACCTCCCAGGTTCAAGTGATTCTCCTGTCTCAGCCTCCCGAGTAGCTGGGATTACAGGTGTGCACTACCACACCCGGCTAATTTTTGTATTTTTAGTAGAGATGGGGTTTCACCATGTTGGCCAGGCTGGTCTTGAACTCCTGACCTCAGGTGATCTGCCCACTTTGGCCTCCCAAAGTGCTGGGATTACAGGTGTGAGCCACCGTGCCGGGCCTCTTTGGTGTCTTTCTGAATGTTATAATCAGGATATGGCCCCTGTGAGCCTGGTAGCCATGGACATCCACCCACCCTCACCCCGACCTGCTGAAGACATATCCCGGGTTCAGAATCCACAAAGGTGATGGCTATGGCAGAATCTGTCCCTACTTGGTGGAGCCTATGCAGTCATTTGTCAAAGCAGACACCACGGGCGTCATGGACGTAGAACTTAATTTCTTCCCTTTTGTCTTTGAAAAGTTTGTGATGTGGTAAAAGAGACACTGCAGGGAGCATGGATTTCCAGAATTCTGTTGATTTTTGTATGTTTGTTTATTTAACCCAGGATATACGAGAAGTTCTATTTATGAGCAGGGATAAAAGTGGGGCCTATGGCTTATGATTTCTTTTCTTTTGAGACAGAATCTTACTCTGTTACCCAGGCTGGAGTGCAACGGTATGATCTTGGCTCACTGCAACCTCCGCCTCCCTGTTCAAGCGATTCTCCTGCCTCAACCTCCCAAGTAGCTGGGACTACAGACCATCACGCCCAGCTAATTTTGTATTTTTAATAGAGACAGGGTTTCACCATGTTGGCCAGGCTGGTCGAGTTCAAAACTCCTGGCCTCAAGTGATCCATCCACCTCGCTCTTCCAAAGTGCTGGGATTACAGGCATGAGCCACCACGCCAGGCCAGCTTATGATTTCTTTATGATGAATGAAATGAGGTAACCTTGTGTTCTCCCAAGTAACACACACACACACACACACGTGTGCGCGCTCACATACAGGTATGTACAGGCATTCACATGTGTGTACATCTGCAGAGAGCCAGATTTTTATCCCAAATCACTCTCAGGAATCTGGGTTATCCACCTTTGACTTTTCGCCCCCAAATCTAGTCTTTTGAATATGCTTCAGCATGATCGTTAGGGAACTGGGAGGCAGTGCCTCTCCTGTGCTTGGCCCTCTGTTCAGGCTGCACATGGCAGGAGGGTGGAGTTAGAGGAAATGGCCGGGAATGGTGGAGACTTTTAGCCAAAGGTGCTGGTGGCAGGCTTCCCAGAACTTTGAGGTTGAAAGAGGTTTTGTTGAGCTCAGCAGATGTCTCCTGGGAAAACCTTTCCCCGGGCTTGATTTAATACTGACCCCAAATGACTTGAATCAGACAGGCAGGAATTATAGCTACAATAGAGCAGTTACGATTACAGCATGCTTCAGAAAAAGATAAGTAAACACAGTTTTTATGTCACCGACATCTTCCCCCATGCCTGTTTGTTGGCTTCGCACCTGGGCTATATGACAACCTTTTCCTGCCTGCAGCACTCAGTGACCCGCAGGCCTCCCAGAGCCACGGACACTTTTCATCTTTGAAGCCTGTGCTGAATTCTAGGGTCCTCTCCTGCTGCAGCCACTGTCGGGCCCACTCAGGACACCGTGCAGTGCAGGGCTTCTCAGTGTGCACCGAGATTGTGCTCCATTCCCTTCTTTTCTCCCTTCCACTTTACAAGTGGGGAGATGGACACCCTCAGGTGTCCAGAGCGCCGGCATCTTCACAGACAGAGGGCTGGAGTTTACACACATTCTGCGTTTTCTGGTCATGTTCCCCACTGTCCTCCGGGTCCACCAAGGACAGGAAAGGTGTCGTAGGAAAGGTGGGTGCCCTACTTTCTGAGATGCTCAGAAAGAGCGTCTTTCTCCACCCTCATCCCCTCTCGGGCTGGCTCTAGGCCCAGGTTCGCCTGCCCTGGGGGTCCAAGGCTGGGCAATGGGCTTCTTGGGAAAGCAAAGGGGTCAAGCCTAGTTGCTAGTAGCATAGATGATTGAAGCTGGAAGGGCCTTAGACTACTACTAGTTCTAGACTCTCACTGGACAGAAAAGGCTTCGAAGGATGCCCCTCGAAACCCGAGGAAGTGGCTGAAAGGGCCTTGGGATCTACTCTGGGGTTGCCTCTCCCCACTTCTGTGACTTGGTGTAGGAACTCTGAGCTTCGGTTTTCTCCTCCATGCACTGAAGATGATGCCTACTGCCTAGTTTTCTTGTGGGTCAGTGAGATAATCCAGGCATTCTACAGGGGAGAAATTAGCAGGTGTTCTGTTAGTTCGCTCTTCTAATCTCTCCCTCCTTATTTTTCTTATGAGTCCAATTCTCCACACAGACCATTTTCCCCACTAGGCTATAAATTCCTGGAGATCAGGGACCCCATGAAATTCATCTTGGGTTTCTCAACACCTGGGGACAGTGCCTGGCATCGACCAGCAAGGTTTCAAATAACCTGTGTTGGGCAACCTGTCAGAGCACGAATGTTCCCAGAAGACTGGACAACAGCCCTTGGGGAACGCCCAGCAGCTGGCAAGTCTGGGACTTCACAGCCAGTTTCCTGCCATTTGTCCCTTTCGCAGAAGCACAGGAGCCATAAGGAGGTTTGTGGATTTTCAGTTTTACTGTTTATTTTTTGAAAGCCAGTGAGGATGGGCAAGTGCTTGGTCCCTTCTAGGCTGCATTCCAGCCCCCACCCACCTACCCCAGCCCACCCCCCACCTGCCAGCAGCTCAGATCCCCCTGGGTGAAAAACACCACCCTGTCAGCCACCAGCCCCAGTGCCAGGCAGCAAGGTTATCCAAAGGAAGGAAGGACCGTGGTTCCCAGCAGGCCGTGGTTCAGCCCCTCCCTGGCATCCTTCACCCAGCGGGAAGGGGTTTCCTTCTCCCTTCCTGCCTTGTTGGAGGGTTTTTGTTCCAGGGTCCTTCTCAGCTTTTCCTTTCCTCCCCAGGTGGAGTGCTCCCTCTCTCCCGGTGGGCCTGTCCTTCTGTCAGCACCAAGTGATGTCCAGGTAGGTGGCCCTTGGGTACAACGTCCCCGCCTCACCTCTCCCTGCACCCTCCCTTTTTCCTGGCCATCAGGGATTTCCCGTGTCTTCGGTCTTAGAGGTATTGGCCCCGAGGGTAAATCGGAGAAAGGAGGCCAGGGGGATTTCCGAAGCTCAGGGGCCATCATCCTGGAGTGCCAGGGGCGTTTCTTCTTCACTGGGATGTCCCACTTCCCCTCCTGGAGGCAGATTTCCTGCAGCCAGGGTTAGGTGCTCAGCTCTGGGCCCTCCAGTGGGACCCTTCCTGCACACAGGTCTGAGGAGTGCACCTGGACCCTCACCGGTCTTTTCTTCTGCAGCCAGCAGCTGGCTTGGGAACCAAGACCCTGGTCTTCTGATTTCCCAGCCAGCTGCCTCCCTCCCTGGGAAGTCCCCTACCCACAGCTGGATCACAGCGGTATGTCTGGGACCCCACGGCCAGTTTCCTGGCTGTGGAGCCTGGTCATTTTAGTCCTCGTGTACTTGAGAATCTGCAGAACTGGCAGGTGAGGCCGCGGAGGAGCAACCGGCAGGGTTTCCAGGTCTCAGGAGTGCTGTTCTCCCTACTGGCCTCCTCCTCCCTCAGCTGGGATGACTGTCCCCTTTCCCTCCTTTCCTCCTCCTCCCCTGCCTCCCCTCCTCCTCTTCCGCCTCCTCCGCTGCACCTGCCGCTCCTCCTCCACCTCCTTCAAGCACCCCTCATTGAAGATTCAGTCCCTGCGCCCCCAGCGGCGTGGGGAACGGGAGGGGAAGGCAGGCTCCTCGGCGTCCCCGCCACGGGCTGCAGCCGGGACCCCGGGCCTGGACGGCGGGCGTCAGACGCTGTGCGCCCCCAGGCTGAGCACCGAGAAGGCGGCGCGGTGCTTGCGCAGCAGCAGGCGGATCTTCTCGTCATCTGAGTCGGGGTCCAGCGGCTTGTTGTATTCGTCGTCCTCGTTCTCCGAGGGTGCGCGGTCCCCGCCTGCGCCCGCGCCGCCCGGGGCCCGGGGTGTGGAGGACGAGGGCTCCAGGGCACTCTTCTTCCGCCACTTGGTCCTACGGTTCTGGAACCACACCTGGGATGAGAAAGACGCTGAGGGTCACGGGCACAGCGCGCACGGGGCGCGAGAACAGCCATCCTGCGTTTACAGCCAAACAAATGGCTCAAAAACGGAGTGGCTGTCACATTCTCGTTTCTGTTGGGGAAGGGCAATAAAGTTTAAAAACGTGAGCGCAGCAGCCCTTCAGCTCGCCGCAGCCCTCCCCTCCACCCCTCCCCTGTGTCGTCTCCTCCTCCTCCTCCTCCTGGGCACTTGGTGGAAGATGCCGCGTGCGCGGGGTGGAAGGCTTAGCCCGGGTGGCATCGGAAGGTGCTTATGAGCTGTCCCTCCTCTGGGTTTCATAGACCCTTACCCAACTTCATAAATAATTGTTACTCTAATTAGAAAAGTAACGTAGGTCCATTGCCTGGGGAAGTTGAAGAGTGTAGGAACGAAGCAGAAAGATGCAGGAGGGTCCGCCTCTGCCTCCCAGCTCTCGCCCCATGGCAGTTGGTGAGCCGCTGATGAGGAGGGCGCAGCAGCTGGGAGCTTGAGGAGGCTCCAGGGCCCTGAGCAAAGCCCAGAACCCAGTGCCAGCTGCCCCTGCTGCATCCTTAGCCTGGTTGCAGTCACTGAGCCAGCAGTCCCCGAAATTCTGAGCTTTCTTGAACTTTAATGCCCCCCCCCGCCCCCCGCCAATGAAAGTCCCAAAAGTCGTCTATCATCAAAGTGGGGAAAGTTGCCCCCAGATACTGAATCGGTAGAAACAGGTTTCCCCGGGTCTATTTAGGGGGCACTTGGGGCCCCCGAGGCTGGAGTGGGAGAGCCTGAACTCACCGTCCCAGCCCTGGCTCCAGGCCCTGATAGCCCATCCGATCCTGCTCAGCAGGAGGAGGTATTGTCTTCATCTTAAAGCTAGGGGCTGGGCACAGTGGCTCACGCCTGTAATCACAGCACTTTGGGAGGCTGAGGTGGGTGGATCATGAGGTCAGGAGTTCAAGACCAGCCTGGCCAAGATGGTGAAACCCCATCTCTACTAAAAATACAAAAATTAGTGAGGTGCAGTGGCAGGTCCCTATAATCCCAAATACTGGGGAGGCTGAGGCAGAAGAATTGCTGGAACCCGGGCGGCAGAGGTTGCAGCGAGCCGAGATCACGCCACTGCCCTCCAACCTAGGTGACAGAATGACAGAGACCCGTCTCAAAAAAAAAAAAAAAAAAAGATTGGTAAACTGAGGTCAGCTCCTTTTGCTGGTTGGAGCATCAAGCCTGCATCTGGGCCACAGGCTGCTGACAGTGTTTGGAATTTTTGGCCAAATAGCAAGCAAGAGGGAAAGCCTGAGGTTGGCGTCCCCACATCTGGGGTTGAACCCCAACTCTTCCAGCTCTCCCAGCCAGGAGACCCCGATCTTCATCTGCGAAATGGATAATAATACTGACCCCCCCGGATTGCTGAGAGGGTGAAATGAGAATGGGGCTCAATGGATGATGACCTTTTCCTGCCTATGGTTCATTACACAGGCTCTAGGGTTAGGCAGACACCAGGACAGCCACCCTCTGGAAAGCTGCATTGTGTGGCCACCTCTCTCCAGCACAGGGGGAGCCTGCTGGACAGGCTCCTCCCACACAGACTCACCTTGACCTGCGACTCGGTCATGCCCAGTGAGTATGCCAGCCTCGCCCTCTCGGGGCCAGCCAAGTACTTGGTCTGCTCAAAGGTTTTCTCCAGGGCAAAGATCTGGTGCCCCGTGAAGGTGGGCCGGGTGTGCTTCTTCTTGTGGATGCTGTCACTCAAGGGGTCTGGGGCTGGCAGGAGGAAGGAAGTGTGGGGTTAGTAGGATAAGTGGAGATCCTGCAGCTAGGCACGGCCCACACGGCACCAGCCCTGCCCTTCCTCTCCCTCCTACAGAGCTTGCCAGGACACCAAGATTCCTTCCCCCTGAGCTGCATTTTGATATTGGGGAACAGTGACTGTTACCTCTGCCCTGCCTGGCTGGGCAGGGCTCCTAGAGGGCAGCTGCTCTGGGGTAAGGAGACTTAGGGGCAGCAGCAGAGCCTCATGCTTCTCTATCTAAAGTTCTCAATACTGATGCTGCCTTCCCCTGAGGGGCAACAGGAGTTCCCTCTCTGTCCCAGGGATGTCCCTCTCTGTCCCAGAGATGTCCTCCTATAATTAGGGACCAGGGCCTATGAATTCCCCCCACCCCCTGGCTTCGCCAACTTCCTTGCTCTTGAGGCCCAACTTCCCAGGTCTCCAGGAAGTCAGGGAGGGGTGAACTCCAAGCCCCAACCTGCCACTTCCCCATGTCACCAGGCCTGGAAGTCATGTGGCTTCAACTACCCTGGAGAGTCTGGCATGGAGGCCACAGACCCTGACCCCCAGCCTGGCCAGGGCAGGCGGCTCAGGGGAGGCAGAATTCCTACGTGTCAGGCCTCATTCTCTGCTGTCTGACAGCTCAAGTTACAGGCGAGGAAACTGAGGCACAGAGAGGAAGAACCCTCCCGAGACATCTTCAAGTCTCTGCCTTTGCTTCCATTAGCCACTGACTTTCTTGGCTATGTACCTGTGTGTGTACCTGCATTCTGGACTGAAGTGGGGGTGTGGGGGGTGCGGAGTGGGTAGGGGGAGATGGAGGGAAGAGAGAGCTAGCTGGAGGCTTAAAGCACCCCCAAAGCCAAGCCTAAAACAGGTTCCAAGAGAGGGGGCTTCACCTTTAGGGGCACAGCGATGGGTGACAGGCAGTGTGACGGGCTAGGCAGGGTAGCAAATGGGGGGACAGGTGCACTTTTGGGGTTTCCTTGGTTGACCCCAAGCCCCTATTGGAGTGGGGGATCCCAGAGATCAGACAGAAGTGGAGGCCCCTGCCTGACGTGGGCAGGGTTTTGGTGGTACAGGGAAGATTCCGAAGACTCTCACCTCCCTGCCTCCCAGCCGAGCCTGCCCTACCTGGACACGCCCTGCCACCTCCTCCAGTCACTCTGACGAGCATCACAGGCCCACTCTCGGAACAGTTCTGAGAACCTTGGCTGAGGGGTGGGTGGGCTGAGAAGAGGCCTCCTGCTTCCCCGCAGCCAGGGCCAAGTTCAGTTGGGCTGGCAGCAGCTCCCAGAGGCTGGCCACTTGGTGCGGCTGCTGTTGCTAGAAACCCGAGGATGTGGTGGGCACAGCCTCCTGGCTCAAAGGCTGGACCCGGATGGGGTCAGGGTGCATCCTGTACCCCTGAGCAATGCTGGGGCTCTTTGGGAAGGTGAGCTGGGACATTTTCCTCACAGGGGTGGCATTTGCCTGCTTTAGTGGAGAAGTGGTGGCATGGGCCTTGGGCTGCAGAAGCGAGCTGGGTTGCCTGCTGGACCCCGGGCAGGGCAGGTGTGGGCTGTGGGGCCTTCTTTAGGTCTGGAACTGCTACAGGCCCTAGGAGGGCAGCTGAGATGGCTCAGATACCTGTGTCTCAGCACTGCTGGGTGGGAAGGAGGAGAGGGTGGAACTCAGTCTGTACTGAGCTAAGGCCACGAGTCCCGGGGTTAATGGCGGCTAGCGTAGAGGGCAGTGGTGCAGGGCGCCTGGGAGGAGGCCCCTCCTCCTCTTCTGCTCCCTGGGGCCTAGTGGGTACGGGAGGGTGGCTGGGAAGGCCTGGTACTCACTGTTGCTGCACTGCCGCCCGCCTCGCCAGTCCTGGCCTGTGTCGGCCCAGCAGTTCCGGGTCCGGGTGGGGTACTCGTTCCCAGCTTTGGAAAAATTCCCCACCTGGGGGCTGTAGTAGACCCCCTGGGAGCTGAGCCCCCCAAAGCCTGTCACGTGGGGGTAGCCAGAGAGGAGGCTGCTGTTTGGCGCAGCCACCGGCCTGCTCAGGATGTCCGTGATCCCGTGGGGGGTCCCGGCGGCCAGCTGGGGGCCCAGCCCCGGAGGGCTGAGCTTGTAGAAGGAGTTCTGCACCGAGTACTGGCACATGGGGGCCTTCATCTCCGGAAACTGAGCCAGCGGCGTGTTGTTCAGCAGGAAGGTCCCCTGCAGGTTGGACTCCATGATCTCCTGGTCAGGACTGGGAAGGCTTCTCCAGGCCCCTAAAACACAAGAGCGCACGCTCTGGCCCCAAATCTCATGACAGGCCCGGAGGGGCAGGATGGGCTCCGAGCCCCTGACTGCCTCCCACCTAAGGCATCCGCCTGGCCCTGGCCCAGGCACTGGCACCGGGTCAGCTGCTCAGAAGTCAGGTGCTGAGGGCAGGTGGGAGGCCTCCCCAGGGCTCCTGGCCTCTCTCCTTGCCCTGGCGGGACAGGGAGGCCCCCCTGCGCCTCAGCTCAGACCCCCTTTCTGCCTCTGAGTCGGGGACCCTCCATGAGAAGTTTTAAGTTCAGAGAAGGAACATTTCCCTGATAAAGATACGGCCCATTAGAATACAGGCCCGAGACTGGCTGAGCCGCTGGAGCCGCGCCGCCATTGGTCGGGGTGCACACGGGCCTCACATTGGCTTTTCCTAGACAAATTACACTTTGAAAGATTGACTGTAAAATCAGCCAGGGTGTGCGTGTGTGTGTGCGTGTGTGTGTGTGAGAGAGAGAGAGACAGAGAATTAGCTCTAGAAACCCTGCTCATCGCCGGCGGGTCCACCTGCTCCTCCCCAGGTCTAGCATCTAGGAAAAGGTGGGTGTCTGGGAGCCCCTGGAGATTCCCAAGGCAGCTGGAAGTCACTGTTTCTGCAGCTGCTCCCCTGGAGGAGAGGAGGCTGGGCTCAGAGGCCACTGTCCGGAGCTGCGCGGGCCCCTTTATGTGCAGATGTTGAAGCTCCACAGGAGAATGCAGCCTCTTCCTTTCCTTCCAGGTGCAGGGATGGGGTAAGTGGCGAGGCTGAGTGGCATTGCTTTCCGGGGGATGCAAGTCCCTGTGGCTGACTTGAGAGCCTAAGATGGGAGCCCGCTAGGCAGAGGGCTGGACGGGGCATAGGCAGCCAACAATTCTGGGGTGTGTGTCCTCCAGCTGCCAGAGGCTGAAGAGGAGGGCTGCCCTGCACGCGTGTTCTTGCCTCCACCTCCGGTTGGCCTTCCCTGACCTCCCTATCAGAATCTCTTCCTCATCTGTGTCTCTGCTGGACCAGTGGCCACACTCTGTCTGGTGTGGTGCCCAGGTTTGAAATCCCTGATGGCTGAGAGGGTGGTGCAGCCCAGTGCCGGCACTCCATTGGTGCTAAGTTAGTAGCTGATGAATGAAACTGGACTGAATCATAGAGCACACATATGCTTTTTTTTTCTCGAATAAATTTTTATAATGTACAAGGCTCTATTGGGGCAACTCTCCTTTTGCAAATAGGGAAACCAAGGTATAGAGGAGTCAGAGCCCACATTCCAGGTGCATGGGTGATTTCTGGACCGGGCAGCATTCCTTCTTGCAGTTTTTCTCTAAAAATGGAAACTAGCATGCCACTGGCCTGAACATGTAAAATTCAAGGAAAGATTGCGACTGCCAGACGGACTTCTCCTCTCTCTGCCTGGTGGCCCTGGAACCGTTCCTGACCACGCATGGGCTCTGTGTCAGAGGCCGCCCTGGCAGGTGGGAGATAAGAGACGCTGCTTCGCTGAGCTGTTCCTGGGTTCCCAGGAACAGCTGTCTTGGCTTCCAATGGGGAGCAGAGGACCCAGGGCTCAGGGCAGGCTTCCTTCTCATGCTGAAGTTGACCCTCTGCGGCATAGGGATTTAGGTTATGCAAGAAAGACCTCAGGAAGGGTGTGGAATGATTCTCTACAAATTTGGTTTAAAGAGAAAAGAGCTGCATCTTCATTTGAGATGGCTTTGCCACCAGGCTGTATGCCACAGCCATCTGGTAAACCTGGTTTTTGTTCCTGGTGTTGCCACCCAATCCCACCCAGGCAACTGTGATTCTGAAATTGCATTTTAAAAAGCCCCCTGCGTACTGCAGATGACCTGCCACAGTTACCCATTGGCCTGGACAGTGTTTCCCACTCCAGGAGAGAGGCTTGGAGTGGGGTGGGGCTGGGGCACTGCAGGGGCCTTGGGACTGTGACTCTGTCACCCCCTCATGATGGGAATATATGTGGAAGGAAAGCTGTAGCCGATTATTTGATTCTTAATTAATGCCAAGCCTGACAAAGGCGTTGGTGTCTGGCGCCCCCAGGATGAGAAACTGAAGAGACTTTAGCAACCACTTAATCCATTCTCCCATTAGACAGATAAGGAAACTGAGGCCAGCTTGGCCACCAGCCTTTCAGGAAGTGTTAGCAACTAGTTAGGAATAGGGCGATTTTTTCCCTACAGCAAGAGCAAGTTATTGAACTCTTTTTTTTTTTTTTGAGATGGAGTTTCGCTCTTGTTACCCAGGCTAGAGTGCAATGGCACAATCTCGGCTCACCACAACCTCCGCCTCCTGGGTTCAAGCAATTCTCCTGCCTCAGCCTCCCAAGTAACTGGGATTACAGGCGCGCGCCACCATGCCCAGCTAATTTTTGTATTTTTAGTAGAGACAGTGTTTCACCTTGTTGACCAGGATGTTCTCGATCTCTTGACCTCGTGATCCACCTGCCTGGGCCTCCCAAGTGCTGGGATTATAGGCGTGAGCCACCGCGCCCGGCCTAAGTTCCTGAACTTTGAATAGCATTGAGTACTGGGGCCAGATACCTTCCTAGGGAGCACTGGGGGGCCCCCTCAGTGCATTCCAGCTGCGGGCCTGGCCAAGAACCCTGGTGGGTTGTGGTGCTCCCTCCCAGACTCCCAGCTTCTCCCCATCTCATGGGAACCATTAGGTGGCACTGAAATCTGCTCTGCCACCTTTCTGGGGGCAGCTCCCTGGTGGGTGGTCCTGATTAAGGGTTGTCCAGGCTTCCGGAAGGACTGGGCATTGATCGGGCTCACTGGCGCTCGAGGCCCACCCATAGACTCCTTCATATCCCAACCTAGGCTTTGCACTGGCCCCAGCACCCCTAAACCCCCAAAAGACGAGCGGGAAGGAGAGATGGAGCCCCATGCCATTAGTCCATTTCTTTATTAATTTTGACATTGGTTCGGCTGGTGTAGGGAGAAAAGTCTATACATCAGAGTGGGGTGGGGGATTCTCTCCCATAACAGAGCATGTGGGAGAGTCAAGAAAAGATCCATTTTCATAACAATTAAAAAAATCAAGGTAATTTCAAAACTTCTAAAAAGCGTCTAATGTGCAGACTGCAGCATTCTCTAGGCATCGTGTGGAGACCCCAAACTCCTCCCTAACAGCTCCTACAGCAGCCGGAGCGCGCAGCCATGCCAGCCGGAGCAGAGGTGCCAAAGCGGAGCCTGGAGCCGCGGGGTTGGGGGGCGCGGGGCGCTAAGGGGGCTACTGGGTTGGCTGCAGCGGCGACCTGGGAGAGGAGGGTACAGGATCGAGGCGGGGGAGGCGAGCCCTGCGCCCAGCTTCCTTGGGCGGTCACCGAATCGGTCCCAGCCGCGCCGCGCGGCCCCCATGGTTGGGGGATCCCGGGCGCCTTGCGCCCTGGAGGCCGGGCCAGGGTGGCCTCTGGCGGCGGCGGCGCCTCCCGGGCTCGTCCTGTAGCTCCTCCGACGCAGCCTCGGGGAAACTGAGGCCCGGAGCTAGAGCTTCCTCCCCCTGCCCGCCCCTCTAAGGAAGCAAAAGCAGCCCCGCCCCCTGCCGGCAAGACATCTCGTCTGTCCCGGGGCCCGCTAAGCCCGGGGAGCACCGGGGCGGACTCGGGGGTGCGGGGACCCTCGCCGCTCACAGGCCCCGCGGCCAGGGGGCTTGTGACGTGGAGGGGCCTTCTGTGCTACTTGGAAGTTTTAAGTGTGTCCCGAGGATACCCCCGCAGAGCGGCGGGGCGGACAGGGCCGGGCCGTCCACACCGCGGCTCCCGGGGCGAGAGGAGCCAGCTGTCTCTCTCCTGACCCGGGGGCGCCCGCCGCGAGGGCGGGGCCGGGATTGTGCTGATTCGGGCCTCCCTGGGCCGGAGGCTCTGGTGGAACTTAAGGCTCCTCCCTGATGGCACCGAGGCGAGGAACTGCCAGCTGTCTGTCTCCTTCCTACCCTGACCCAGAGCCTGGCCCCTGCCTCTGGGATCCAGGCTCTCCACCTCCGCCCCTGCTCCCACTGGCCACATGGTCCGGGAGCATGTCTGGCTTGCCTCTCCAAGAGGCCACAGAGGCTGGGCAGAGGGGAGGCACTGAGGCTGTCCTGCCTCAGGCCTGGCACCTGCACCCAGGGTCCCCAGCCTGCGGGCTGTCTGGACTTAAAGCACCAAGTTCACTCTGGGAGACCTTGGGTGGTCCTGACTTCTGAGACCTGGCAAATACATTCACTAGCCCTATGCCCTTCCTTCCTCTTTCACTGAAAGACAGGCGTAGCTCCTTCTCCTGCCGCTGCAGAAGTTCTCAGGAGCTGCGCTGTCAGGCTCTGTAGTACTGCTAAATGTTTCTATTGGTTTGCATAGTATTTATTGTTTTTCATATACACAAGGCTGATTACTGTACAGTTTACACTTTGAACACAGACTATGATATAGTGCTTGAAGATATAGAAAACCTCTTCTCTATGGACATGCTGGTGCAATCCTGGGTCAGCCACCGGCCCATCCCCAACTGAGAGAGGAAATCCTTTCAGATGGGGCCCTGGCTCCCTTTGAGCCCTACAGCTAAGCCTGGGGGTCCTCACCTTGGATTCTTAAGTCCCTAACACAAGGAACCCCGAATGCACTCTCAAGGTAATGATTTTCCATTGGAAGATAATTCGTACTGAAATTGGCAGAGAGAGAGAAAGACAACATAAAAAATTCCAGTTTATCCACAGCAGTGTCTGTACAGCTTCGGATGTCACAGTAAAATCTGTGTGTAGTCAGTGGAGGTGAGCGGTGTGTGTGTGTGCATGCGCGCGCACGAGTTCACACACGTCCTGAATGTCATGTAAAGCGATCTGGGTGGAGTGTTGCCAGGGAATGGAGGGGGTGTCACAAGTGGAATGGAGGTGTGTGGGTTGGGGAGGGTGGGCAGACAAGGGCATGGCTTAAGATTAAGGTACTAAACTGATTTCATGCCTAGTTTTCTTTTTTTTTTTTCTTTCTAGGAAGCCCACATGGATTTCTGACAGATGAGGTTGGAAAAAAGTACCCTGTATGAAGTCAAAATTAAAACAATTTAACAAAAACCCTCCAAAACCAAAACCCATCCCCAGCCACAAAAAGCCCTCATTCACTTTTGCGTTCGCAGGCTCTCCATGCTTGTTTTCTATCCCTCTCTCTCCGCTTCTGGCTGCTTTTGTGTCCTGGTTCTGACAGATCAGCTGTCATTGCTAGAGGCAGGATTGAAGCCCAGAGGTCATGCGTCTACAGTCAGTCATTCATGCGAAGAGGGGACTATCGGGAGTCCCTTACAGAGGTCATGCCGTCAGCCCAGAGGAACGTGTGCACCGCTGCGGTGGCCCTCAGGTCCAGCTCTCCTCCAGTGTGCATGGCAGAGTGTGTGGGATTCAGGGGTTGGGTGTCGAGGTGTGATCCTGGGAGACACAAAGAGAGAAGGAGTCACTTAGAATGCAAAGGTGCAACGTCCAGCAAAAACCCCATACCCACAGTTTTGTGCTGGCAGCTCAGGCCGGATCTGACTCAGGAAAAGCAGTCTCCCCAGGCAAGGCGAGGTGCTGAGGGCGTTGCACTTGCAGGCCTGACCTCCTGAGATACCACCCTCCTTCTCTGGCTCCCTATGGAGAGGCTGTTCCTCAGAGCTACCACCCAGGCCTCATGAATTCCTTCTGAGTGTGTGCACTCCAGGATACCTCTCTGTGTGGACAAGGAGAGCACTGTGCTTGCTCTCTGCGAGGAGCAAAGGCCCCCATGCCTATGTGGTCACCTTGGGAGCTATCTGCTGTACTTAGGAAGGACCATTTTTCACAAGCCAGGGCTTGTGCCAAGAAGGGGCTAGGCGAGGCCTTCACTTTCTCAGTTCAGCTCTGCCAACATGCACTGATGTCTGTCCTTCGCCAGTCTTGGGGACCCAGGGATGGAGCAGACATGCTCCCTGGCCTTGGGAGCTCATGGCTTCAGGGGTGACACCTCCCCTTCAGCTGTGGTCCACAGTTCTTCCTGACAGGTGCCTCTGGCTGCTCTCCCCATGCCCCTCAGAAGGCCAGAGATCTCTGAAAAACAGATGCATCTTCCTCTCCTCCTTCTGTATTGAGTCTTAGGCTGGAAAACAGCAGCTTCGTTGGAGGACTCCTCAGCCTGGGATTCAAAGTGAGAAACCTCTCCTGTCCCCATGGGACCTCCGGCCTCCAACCTGGGGTGAAAACTCCACATTTTCAAGACCAGCCACTCAACTTCTATCTGCAGGGGCCCTGGGACTGCTGGGAAAAGGAGGATGCATCAATAAGGAGAAGGTGACAGTCTCTTGGGAGAAGTGACACAGGGAGGCAGGAGCTCGTACAGAGGTGAAGCCATCTCCAGAATGAAGCTGTCTTAGGCCCTCCAGGTGAATGGGGCTGGGGAGGAGTGTTGGAAGGGAGCAGGGAGAATTCAGCTCTGGAGTGGTTCCCCAGGGATGGGAGAGTGGGGCTGGGTTCCTTGCTAGGGGCTGCTGTGGAACTGTAAAACCAGGAAGAGATGCTGCAGTGGGTGGACAGCCCTGTCACCATAGAGGGAAGACATTTTCATCACTGCCGGGCCAGCGCATAGCCCACCAACCACACCTGACTGTCTTCTCTAAGCCTGTGAACAAGCTCTGTCCCCCTGTTCTCTGCCTTCGGTCATAGTTCTCCAGGCAAGGCTGCCTTTCACTTTCCTTTCTGCAGATGCTCTGCCTACCACCCTCAACACCTCCACCCCACAAAACCTTCCTGATCGCCTTGGCCTCTCTCCAATCTGGAAGCTCTCCCTTCCCGTGGCTGCCTTTTCTGTTCGGGAGATGGCAGAGTCGCGTGGGTAAGAGCATGAACTCTGGAGCCAGACCACCTGGGTTCAAGTTCCATGCTGCCTGACCTCAGTCAAGTGCCTTACCTGCTCTGTGATTCAGTTTTCTTTGCTGTAAAGTGAGGGCAGTAACAGGATGAACCCGTTTGAGAGACGTAATGTTTAAAAGAGCTAAGACATGTAGGTGCTTAGCATTGTATGAATGTGGATAATTACTGGGCTCTCTGGAAATGTTACCGTAATCTCTGTCTGTCTGTGCTTTTTACTGTCTGCATATTTCCCTGGCTGGATTAGAAACAATGAGGGCAGGAAGAGCCTCCCGGAGCTCTCCACTGTGCCTGCTCCAAGGGGAAGCACTCTTCAAATAAAAGGCCATCATGGAATGTGAGGGGTGGGAAAGCCAGGCTAGGATCTCCCATCCACTTTGCTGCCCAGGCACTGAGCAGAAGAGAAAGTTCAAGCCTCAGAGATGATGCTGGCATGGCTGCCCATTTCATCCCTTGGTAAACTGAGACTCTGGAGGCGCTCTGGCAGGAGCAGGAGTGGGATGAAGACCCAGGCCACCTCACTCTACCCAGGACTCCTCCATTGTTCTGGGCTTCTTCTCCTGGGTGCCCTCACCTTTCAAAACCTTAGAAAACAGCCTCTTCCTTTCTTTATTTTTATTTCATTTAGAGACAGAGTCTTGACCTGTTGCCCAGGCTGGAGTGCAGTAGTACGAGCATAGCTCACTGTAGCCTGGAACTCCTGGGTTCAAGTGACCCTCCCACCTCAGCTTCCCAAGTAACTAGAACTACAGGTATGTGCCACCATGTCCAGATGATTTTAAATTTTTTTTTGTAGAGACAGGGTCCTGCCACATTGCCCAGGCTCATCTCAAGCAATCCCCCCGCCTCAGCCTTCCAAAGCACTGGGATTACAGGCCTAGGTCACTATGGCTGGCCCTAGACAGCTCTTTCACAGACATAGGCTCAGCAACCATCATAACCATCTTACAAGGGAAACGCTGGCACTGTTGCTATTTTATGGCTAGGGAGCCTGAGGCTGAGGGAGGCCATTTGACTTGCTCTGAGTCACACTACAAACAAGACCTGCAGTGGTTTGGGCCCCAGAGCATACGTGTTCTTGTTCCCTCTTTACATCAGCGCTCAGTTACTGTATTATTTCTAAACCATTTTCTTGACATGTAGTACATCTGGAAGGGACTATTTTCATCCTCCCTTGAGGAGACTGAAGCTCAGGGCAGCTAAATGACTTGTTTAAAGCCATACAACCTGGAAGCAGGAGGAGGAGGCCTTGATTCTAGAGATGCACAAGCTCCAGCTTTCACTCTCTGAAACAAATACAGCCCATTCTTGTCATCTGCAATAGTTCTGTTTTATAAATTAATCACTATTTGAGGCCTGGCACGGTGGCTCATGCCTGTAATCCCAGAACTCTGGGGGGCTGAGGGCGGGTCACTTGAGGTGAGGAGTTGGAGACCAGCCTGGCCAACATGTGAAACACCATCTCTACTAAAATACAAAAATTAGCTAAGGGTGGTGGCACAGGCCTGTAATCCCAGCTACTCAGGAGAATCGTTTGAACCCAGGAGATGGAGGTTGCCGTGAGCCGAGATCGTGCTACTGCACTCCAGCCTGGGTGACAGAGCAAGACTCCATCTCAAAATATAAATAAATACATACATACATAAACAAAATGTCACTGTGAACACGGAATTAGCAAATACTGAACCACTGCTTCTAAGGGAAATACAAGGTTAGGCTCTCTCGTGCCTCTGGCCACAATATTTGGTCAACTGATGAACACGTAACTGTCTTATGTGCGTTTCTGCTTCAGGACCCCTTATGTGATGTATAGGGTTGACCCGTGTGCACTGACCTCACCCCACAGGCACTCTAACTCATCGCTGAGCAGAGTTATCTGAGGTATACTCCCTCCCCTTAAGGAACATCACAGACTTCTTGCACTTAACACCAGGCAGCACTCAGCACTGCCCTCAGGGGCCATTCGAAACAATGAAACCAAAAATTCAAAAACATGGCACTGCCCAGATCACAAGGAGGACACCTATTTATAGTACGAAGCAAGGAGGCAGAGTACGGCCTTGTTCATCCTCAGCTGGGATTGCACGGGTCGGACAACAAACTTTTCGCCCTGTGTGCCTGTCCGTGATGAGCAAAAGCACGGTGAGTGTCGGCTTTGGAGCTACAGATAAATGGTGGTGAGTAGGCGAATTTGAAAATGCACCATCCGTGAATGATGAGGATCAGCTGTACACGCTTGTGGGAGGTGGGAGGTAGTAAATTAGAAAGCCTTTGGACCCTCAACCGTCTTCTCTGTAGCCTTTGCCCTGGTTGGAAGGGTAGGGCATTTGATGCTGTCCCCTAACCCTCTGGGACCTCAACAGGAGCTTTTCTCTGCCTCTACCCTTGCCACTTGCTCCTACCCCCATCACGCCTGTCCCGGTGCCTGTCACTGACAGAGGGCTCAGTGCTGTCCTGGAGCCAGGCTGCTCTATGCTTCTGACAACCAAATTCGTGTGGTCTGGTCCTTAATCACCTGGCAGGGGGTGCTTCAGCCATGCTGCAGATCATTTACAGCAAATTAAAACAAAATACAAGGCTCCCTCCTTCCCCCTGTTCAGGAGCATCCATAGAACCTGAGCCAAACAGAAATTTAAAGCCACAGCTGCCCCCGCTACCATAATAAGTCAGAAGAGGATACTTTTCCTTTCCCTTCGCTGCTTTTAAACATTATTTGCACCTTTGGGTTCCTTCCAGGACACGACAGCAGCTGCTCAGAGTCTTCTAAACCCCTGGCAGTGTGGGGGTTAACACAGTGACCTCCTTAAGCTGCTGAGGTGTCAGGTCTAATTTTATCCTATAACTGGATCTGCCAGTCCTCTTTTTTGCCCAAGTGCTGAGATATATCGGGAAGCCCAGAGTCAGCACTTCTGGTGGCTCAGGAGGCAGCCGGCCCTGATTTTTCCGAATGCAGAAAGCCAGAGTCTCCTTGCTGCTCGGCCCCAGGGTCAGGCCCTGGGGTGTGAATGGTAACACCTGGGCAGCGCCGTGCCCCCTTGCCTCCTGCTGACTCCCACCCCGAAGTATCCTGTACTGAGCTGCCCCGAGCTGGGCAGCATGAAGGGCCTCGGGGCAGCTCAGTACAGGATGCCCCAGGGAGGATGGAGATCAGAGCCGGCCGCTGAAGCCCCCAGCACCGCACACACCCGCTGGAGACCGTTGCACAGCGTCTTCACGGCCCTTCCTCGTGGCATGGCACAGCATGGCACTCAACACATGCTCCTGCTCCGTAGCCACACTACCTCATGCTCACACACGTGCACCAGGGCCCAGGCCCCAGGCCTGACGGTCTCCTGACTTGCAGAAAGCATGTCATCCACCCCTTACTCCTGTCAGCTCAACCCTTTCCTAGAAAGCAAGGGAGCAATGTGTTTCACAAAACACCCAGGAGAAGCTCAGCCTTGGCTTGGTCAGGACTGACTGTAGCTGGGCTCCAGGTTCAAGAGACTGTCTAGTCCTCAGTCTTGAGCCCAGACAGACTTTCCTGTCCTCTCCAGTGCCCTGTCCATCACCCTCCAGGCTTGCTTTCCAAGATAATATTACCACGCAAATCTAAAGTAGGGCTTTTACTCTTCAAAGAGTATTTTTTCTTTCTTTTCATTCTCCTCTCTCCCTCCCCCCACCCACTCTCGTCTAGGTTGGTCTCAAACTCCTGGCCTCAGGCAATCCTCTTGCCTCTACCTCCCAAAGTGCTGGGATTACAGACATGACCCACTGTGCCCAGCCCAAAAACCATTCTTACAAAACCGTGCAGTCCCTGAGAAGTGCGTATTACTAACTCTGCTTCCTTGATGAGGAAGTGGGGGCTCAGAGCCATGTTAGTAGGGCTGGGAAGTGAGAATCTCTGCCTCAAGACACAGCAACAAGTTGTCTGTCCCACGTCATGCTGGGGTGGCTGGGAGGGGATGGGGTGAGAAGGGGAGCAGCCAGTCCACCAAAGATCAGGCCATGCAGAGGGGATGAGAAGGGTGGCGTTACCTCCCGAGAGGCTACTCCAAGGAGAGTGGCTCGGGGTCACTGTTTCCCCCTTTTCAGGCTGGCCCGCTTCACTATCTGCGCCCCCTTCCTGCCCTCTATCAGGTCCGGCTGTAGGCCACTCCCTCTCAGCTCCACCTGGAGATAGCAGCAGAAACAGAACGCAGGACAGATCGCACAGATGGGCAGAACACAGGCAGATTGAAAGGAGGCCACATGGAGGCAGCAGGCACACTGCCCGCTGGGGAGAGGGGATACTGGAGGGAGAGCTCGTGAAGACGTGAGTGGAGGGAGGTGTGGCGCAGATGGGCCCGCCAGACGGGCAGAGCGAGGCAGCAGTGACGGTGCTGGGTCTCCCAGGGCCTTGGGCACCTCAGTACCTTAGCATGTTTCATAAAGGAATCAACATCGACCTCCAGCTCACTGGGATCCTCCAGGGGCCCCTCGACAATCACCTCCTCGTACTCCTGGGCAGCTCCGGCGCTGGATGCGTCTATCTGTCGAACCACTTTTCGAATGATCTGGGAAAGGAAGGGAAGGAGGAAAGGGCTGGTCAGACTGGGCTTGGGGACTCACGTCTATAATCCCAGCACTTTGGGAGGCTGATGGGCAGATCACCTGAGTTCAGGAGTTCGAGACCTGCCTGGCCAACATAGTGAAACCCCATCTCTACTAAAAATACAAAAATTATCTGGGCGTGGTGGCAGGCACCTGTAATCCCAGTTACTGGGGAGGCTGTGGCAGGAGAATTGCTTGAACCTGGCTGATGGAGGTGGCAGCAAGCTGAGATCACACCACTGCACTTCAGCCTGGGCAACAGAGCAAGATTCTATGTCAAAAAAAGGAAAAAAGAAAGGGCTGGTTAAGCCCTCAATATGGAACTTCAGAAAAGCAGGTCCCAGGAATGAGCTCCGAGGCGGGGGGAGCCTTTGTCCTAGGAGCCCCTCCTTGAGAGGAGAAGAAGAGGGACAGCCTTTGCCCCATCGCTTTATGGAAAACCTTATCCTGGACAGCCCCGAAGGGGCCTTGGCAGTGTCATTTCATGACCAAGGTGTGACTGGATGTGACCTCCCACTTGAGCCCACAGCCTTCTGTGTCACTTCTTGGTATGGACGGGAGTTTGTGCTCTTCCCCATTCTACTCCCATGCCCCTAAGGGCAGAGGGCATCTATTTTTTACCCACCCATTCCTGTGTTCACCTGTCCAAATATTCAAACCCTTTACTCTGTACGTGCCATGTGCTCTGAGTGGGAGATGAAATATCAGTGAGACAAGGTCGCTGCCTGCAAGCAGCTCATGGTGCAGGAGGAAAGACAGATGCCCAAGGTGCCTTGCTCCAGGTGGTGCAAGCTGTGCCCCAGCAGAAGCACATTCGAGATCCTGCCTCGGCTCCTCCTCTCTTATACCCATAGCTAGCACCGTGCCCCATACGTGATAGGCAGGGTCATGTCTGCTGAATTAATATCTGCTGCCAATTCGATGCATTTCCACTTCCTTTTAATTAATTAATTAATTATTGTGACAGGGCCTCACTCTGTCACCCAGGCTGGAGTGCAGTGGCTCAGTCATAGCTTATGCAGCCTTGAACTGCTAGGTTTAAGTCATCCTCCAGCATGGAGGCCTCAGCCTCCTGAGTGGCTGGGACTGCAGGCATGCACTACCATACCTGCCTAATTTTTTTTGTATGTGTATATATATGTGTGTATATGTGTGCACATATATGTATATACATATGTATGTGTATATACATATGCACACACGTGTCTATACACACACATACACACGCACATATATGTATATACATACATGTGCACATATATGTGCGTGCACATGTACACACACGTACACATATACATGTGTGTGTCTATATACATATATATGTGTGCGTTTTATATATATATCTATATAACACATATATATGGAGTCTTGCCATATTATATGTGTATATATATAACATACACACATATATGTATATACATATATGCACACACATACACACACATATATACACATACATATATATCACACACACATATTTCTTACTAAAATTTTTTTTAGAGCTGGGGTCTTGCCATATTGTATGTGTATATGTATATCTGTGTGTGTGTGTGTGTGTGTGTATGTATATACATATCTACATATATCTCTAAACTTTTTTTAGAGCTGGGGTCTTGCCAGATTGTATGTGTATATGTATATCTGTGTGTGTGTGTGTGTGTATACACATCGATATATATCTCTTTAAACTTTTTTTTTAGAGCTGGGGTCTTGCCATATTGTATGTGTATATGTATATCTCTGTGTGTGTGTGTGTGTGTGTATATATACATATCTACATATATCTCTTTAAACTTTTTTTTAGAGCTGGAGTCTTGCCATATTGTATGTGTATATGTATATCTGTGTGTGTGTATGTATATACATATCTACATATATCTCTTTAAACTTTTTTTTAGAGCTGGAGTCTTGCCATATTGTATGTGTATATGTATATCTGTGTGTGTGTGTGTGTGTGTATACACATCGATATATATCTCTTTAAACTTTTTTTTTAGAGCTGGGGTCTTGCCATATTGTATGTGTATATGTATATCTGTGTGTGTGTGTGTGTGTGTGTGTATGTATATACATATCTACATATATCTCTTTAAACTTTTTTTTAGAGCTGGAGTCTTGCCATATTGTATGTGTATATGTATATCTGTGTGTGTGTGTGTGTGTATACACATCGATATATATCTCTTTAAACTTTTTTTTTAGAGCTGGGGTCTTGCCATATTGTATGTGTATATGTATATCTGTGTGTGTGTGTGTGTGTGTGTGTGTATGTATATACATATCTACATATATCTCTTTAAACTTTTTTTTAGAGCTGGAGTCTTGCCATATTGTATGTGTATATGTATATCTGTGTGTGTGTGTGTGTGTGTGTGTGTATACACATCGATATATATCTCTTTAAACTTTTTTTTAGAGCTGGGGTCTTGCCATATTGCCCAGGGTCATCTAAATGCCTTTGCTTAAGTGATCCTCCTGCCTTAGCCTCCCAAAATGCTGGGACCACAGGTGTGAGCCACCACACCTGGCCCACATCCTTGTTATTTGAGGAGGTTCATGGTAGGCCAAGGATGGTCAAACTGCTTGTTTAACAGCTGTTTTCAGGTTAGGCATCATGGGACTAGGTCTGGGATGTTTCTTGGGGGTGGCTCTTCTGGAAGGGAGCAGCAGGAGCTATTCAGGTTGACTCAGACAAAGTGGTTGTGTGGACACCATGTCTGAGCTTCAGTTGACCAAAGCTCCCAGATCCTGGGCCATTCATCTCTCCTGAGTAGCAGGGGTGGCCAGCCTGGCTGTGCTCACGGGCTCTCAGGGCAGCGGGAGAAGCTGCAGGCTTCCACCACCTTTTAGCTTCTAGCCTACCTACCTCTCCCCAGCACAGAGGGAACACTATGCACCCACCTTCTTGGTGACAATGTTGCCCTGCTCATCCGTGAATTGCTCCTCTGTCACCTGCTCCCCTGGAATATTCTGAAGCTCATTCCCCTAGAATTAGAGAAAGGGAGAAAATGCGAGATTGGTGAGTGGGAGTCGTGGAGAAAGAGGAAATGAAACAGCAGCAGCCAAAATAGCCACAGCCCAATAACTCCCCCAGCAGGAAACCCCAGCTCTGCTCAGCAGGCAAAGAAGTAGGAGCCACGCCAGGGCTCTCAGGGCGTGGGCGGAGCCCCTGAAGGTCCCGGCGCCTGAAGACGAACAGCCCCTAGCTTGCAACTCTGCACTCGGCCCTCACAACGCCCCCTGGGAACTGGCAAAATGGGGGCGATTATGCAAGTCTGATGGAGGAGGCCCTGAGAGAGGAAGTGAGGCACCTGTTTCCTATTTTTATAGCACTTTGCAGTACGGAAAAGCCCTTGCACAGGCAGCATCATCCATAATGTGACTTGTCCAAAACTCCAGAGCCAGTTGGTGACATGACCATCCAGGTGCAATCCTGTGGTGGCTCACACCTGCAATCTCAGCACTTTGGGAGGCTGAGGCTGGAGGGCGGCTTGAGCCAAGTTCAAGACCAACCCGGGCAACATATGAGCCCTTGTCTTTACAAAAGAAGTTTAAAAATAGCCAGGCATGGTAGTGCATGCCTGTAGTCGCAGCTACTCAGAAGGCTGAGGCGGGAGGATGACCTGAGCCCAGGAATTTAAGGTTACAATGAGCCATGACCCTGCCACTGCACCCAGCCTGGACTAAAGAGCAATACTTCATCTCTAAAAAGAAAAGAAAAGAAGAGAAGAGAAAGGAGAAAGAAAAGGGGAGGGCCAGTGGGAGGGGGAGATGGGGAGGGATAGCCTGGGGAGAAATGCCAAATGTGGGTGAAGGGGAGAAGAAAAGCAAAGCACACTGCCATGTGTGTACCTACGCAACTGTCTTGCATGCTCTGCTGATGTACGCCAAAACCTATAATCCAATAAAAAATTAAAAAAAAAAAAAAAAAAAAAGAAAAGAGAAAGAAGAAAGAAACAAAGGAACAGGACGAGAGCAGTCTCCGAGTCCCAGAGCTGAGTGTTTAGTGTGTCTGTCACACCACGCTGGGTGCTGGAGGGTGGGTTCTGGTGGGCACTGCCACACTCTGGCTCCCAGGGCAGAACTTGATCCCTGAGGGCCTCCTGGTCCTTTTCATCCAGTGTCTCCCAACTCTGGGTCCGGAGCTCCCCACAGCAGCGGCACCCGCACCACCAGCCCCGCCGGCCTGCTGCCAGCGGTTACCTTCAGGAAGACCCGCCGCCGGACCACCCTGGTGGAGATGGTCTCCTCGTCGTCACTGAGCCCTTCACTCTCCCCCAGCTCCTTGTCCAGCTCCTGGTGGATGTGCTTCAGCACGAAGCACAGTGAGCCCCTGACAATGTGCATCACATTCTGACAGCTGACCAGGAAGAAGCTCAGCAGCACCAGCGTGACCAGGAGCTGGGTGACGAAAGTCCACATCCTCGTCTCCTCACCAGCCTGGCCCTCCGGGGACCAGTGCAGCCAGGGGCCCGGCCGCCGTGGGGGGCCCGCCTCTCATTCTCCACCAGGACTCCTGAGTCCCCCAGGGACCCTTGCGTTCCCCTTCTCTGTCTCTCTGGTTTGCTCTCTTGGTCTCTCACTGTTTCTCTCTCTCTGGGCAGGACACTGAATGGCCCTCTCGGCTGGAGCAGCCTGGCCCAAGTGCCCTTCTGCCCAGCAGCCAGGCTCTGCCTTGTGTGGCCCAGGTGACGTCAGGCTCCTATAATTTTAGCTCCCCGAACCAGCTGCCGGAGCTGTCCAACTGGGCTAGAAGGAAGCTGGCAGGTGCCTGTGTCCTGAGCACTGAAAGCACAAGTGAAAGTCACTGTGTAAGTGACACCCACTGCTGCCTTGCCCCGCCCTGCCTGCCCCGCCCTGCCCAGAGAGCTGGAAGTAGGGGCTTGGCCTCTGGCCTATCCTGCCTGTCCGTCCCCATGGGAACTAGAGAGAGTTCTGCCCAGGGAAAATTTCTCAGTCAGGGACTCCAGAAAGTAATTTGGTCTGGGAAAGCGGTCACTTGTGTGTCCCTGGGCAGCTATTGCAGTGATCCCAATGATGTCCCCAGTACATCACGTGGTAACCAGCTAATACACTGGATAGTTAAGGGTCTGTTTCAAAAATAGCCCCAAAAGGGTGAGGGATGGGCTTGTGCCCAGCACAGGTGGGGCCACCTGGAAGCCGGTCTGTAATTCCCGCCAGCCCGCAGGCCCTTGCGCCCTTCCTTTACGGGGCACAGCCTCCTGAAACTGAAGAGTGGAGCTGCTGTGTCTATTTAAGGCCTGTCCTTAAAGGCTCTTCCCGGTTGAGGTTATCAATGCCCACAGCAGGAACCACGCGCCTTCAACTTGCATTTACAGAGCTGATTCACAAATGCAGCCACAGCAGCTGCGGATGGGAAAAAATTCACTTTCTAGATGAGCTTGTTCCTTTCTGAGTGGCAGTGCAGCATGGCAGAAAAAACACAGATCTGGGACACAGCAGACTGACCCCGCAACTCACCCACTGTGGGGTCTTGGGAAGGCTGGGTACCTTCTCTGTGCTTCAGTTTCCTCATCTGTGAAGCAGGGGTTAAAGTACTCTCCCCACCCCTTCTCAAGGCTGCTAGGACAATCACCAGCTTATGAATGCTACCACTATGAATAACAGTGGCAGAGCTTGTGGTAGTTCATGGTTCTATGTGGATTTCACGTTAATTCAGTGACACCTTACCACAATCCTAACTACGCAGGTTGTATCATCTTCCTGTTTTACACAAAGGAAACAGAAGCAACGGATTCTGTCTAGGTGGAAGAATAAGTAAAAGGAGAAGTCAGATTCCAAATGCCTCGCACTCGACAATCCTGCTCTTTTCAAAAGAAGCATGGGGAAAAGTATGTGCAAAGAAGCCAGGCCCGGGGAAGCATCTGGTTTTGGCCCAGTCAAGAAAGTCCAACTTCAGGTGTTTCCTCCTAAGTCCTCAGAGAAGTCAGCTGGGTCATAGTCAATCTCAGGCCACCTTCCAAGTCCCGAGTTACACGAAATCTCTCTATCTCCCTGTCACTGTTTTCAGAGGTCCAGTGGAAATGCTACATGGGTGCTTTGCAAACCATCATCACCTTCAAGGGCCTCCTTATCAGCCCTGGGGGCCAGTGAGGTGAGCACTGACAGCAGCCCGTCAGGCCCTCCCATCAGCATCTCTGGTTCTGGGCTGGGCGTGCTGGCCTTGCATCTGCAGGCTGGATGTAAGGATGTGGGGCTTGGGAGCTGAGGGATCTGTACTCTCCTCGTCCCTGACATTAGTCCACTGCGTGACCCTGGAGAAAGCCCCTCCTCTGGTCTGCAGTGCCCTTGTTTATACTTGAGGGAGTTGGATGTGTGATCTCGAAGGCCCTCCCGGTGAGGCCCTGGGGCCATCAGGCCTGCTGCCTGGTCTCCTGGGTCCACTTCTCCTCGAAAGGGCTGAGTGCACAGGGGCAGTGGGAAAAGTGCTCTAGGCATCTTTCTCCTTCCCCAGGGATTCAGGAGAAGAGACCCAGTTAAGATCATGTGTGCTCTGGGAGCAGAACTAGGTGCCCAAGAGGGCCTGATGGAAGAAAGCATGGGCCGCCTGCAATGAGAAATGCGCACAGTCGCTGGGCCCGCCCGGGGCACATACTTGGCAGGGGAGCGTGCTAAATAAAACCTGACTGAATTCCTAGCAGCTCCATGGCGGGCAGCTTAGGGTCTTTCTTCCAGAGTCACCCTAGTTCTGGAGTCCTCGCAGGTGCACTATGAAGGCTAAGGTTCAGGTAGGAAGGGAGAGAAGGAAAGAAAGAGGGGAAGGAGAGGAGACGGGGAAGCACCATGTCTGGATAGGGTGTGAAAAGAGAGACATAAAAAGCGTTGCTGGTGTACATACTAAACACGCACACGCGCAAAACAGTGGTGCATGTTTTAAAAGAACACAGATGGAAAAGATACCCATTCATACAATGGCTAGGATGTGCTTCCCAATAATAGGTCAGCGGGAGAGAGTAGGGGGTGCAGATGAAACAAGACTGGCCGCAAGTGGGTTATCATGGAACCTGGGAATGAGGAAGGGATTGAATCAAACACAATAGAGTTCATCAAACTCAAAGGGAGTCTGGGGAAGTGGAAGAAAGGAGGGAGGGCCAGAGAGAAAGAGGCTGGAAAAAGCAGGAGCGGAGAGGAGGGTTCTCTCTATTCCAGGACCCTTCTTCCACTTGGCGACTGCCATCCAGAGGCCACCTGAACAGCCACAGAATTCCAGAGCCAAGGAAATCTGGTGACATTCCAATCACTCCCCTCTTTAACAAAGGGGCCCTGAGGTGCTGGGAAGAAAGCGGCTTGGGCACGTGCACAGGCCACGGAAGGATGAGGGTAAGCCCCACGCCCAGTGCTTGGCTCCTGGCCCTTCTTAAACGTGACAGAACAAGAAAACCAACACAAGCCACAACTCAGCCAGACCTAGCTCAGAGCCTGCTTCTGAAACTGCGGCTTAGAGCAAGTTGCTCAGCCACTCTGATCAGCAGCTGCCCAGTGGGTACAGACGCCTTAGCAGGCATCCAGAAGGCAGAAAGGTGGGCCCTGCCCTTGGATCTTGCCTTCTAGAGAAAGAGAAGCACCACCACAAGTGTTAAAGGAAGGAGATGTGCTTAGCTCAGGGCTTAAGTGCATGAGAGGCAGCCTGGAGCCCCGGCCCCTTCTGATGCTGGGAATGAACTGTGGCTTGCAGTGCCCCTCGGGCTCTCACCCGCACCACCCAGGTGAAGAAGCTCTCAACCTCCCACACCTGCTCTCCGTGGGCTTGCTGTCTCCGGTCCCTGTTGGCCTGGGAGCTCTCGGCCTTGGGCTGCTCTGTCCGCATGTGCTTGCTCACCGACACCAGGACCTTCTCATACTCCTGAGACCCGCTGGGCTCTAGCCCTTTGGCCGTGGTGCTCATTCTCTGGAATGAGTGTGGGCCTTGTGTGACCTCCTCTCGCCAGGAACCTTGTGCAGCATCTTGCAGATATGAGACAATGGAGCCGTCTGCATCCCAGTCCTGCAGTCTGGGGTCCAGGAGAGGTGGCAGATGGCCGGCCAGGGAGAGAGAAAGGACACCTGGTCACCCATCGGTCTCATTCCTTTTAGACACTTTCCCCCTCCGGAGCGCTGGCTCATCAAGGACACAGACCACCCTCCCATCCCTCTCATGCTGTCTAGGTGGAGAGGCCACTGGTCCCTCCCTGTGGGCAAACGGCTCTCCCTTGGGGCTCCCAGGGCACTGAGCTCGCCCTGCTGGTCCAAGCACTGGGGCCTCCACACTCTCATCCCACATCCTTGAGCTCTGCCTACCACCCCGTTCTGCTCTCCAGGCCCTTCCCACTCGGCAGTCCTCATCTGATAAGGTGGTCATTCTCTCCCCCTAGACATATTCTCCCATGGCTCCTGAAAGGCACTGGCCTGGTGCCCGCCTCCCACTTCCTCTCTGGCCAGTCTTGCTCTGTATCCTCTGCTGGCTCCTCCTAACTTTCCTGACTTCTGAACCTTGGAGCACTTAGGGGTTCAGTTCTCAGACCTCAGCACTATCCACATCCGCTTCCTAAGCAAGCTCATTTATTCCATGCCCCCAAATACCATCTCTATGCCCAGAGTGCCTGGACATGTGTCCAGCTCGGCTCTTCTCCTCGAACTACAGATGTGTGCACCCCACTGCCTCCTCCACATCTCTACTTTGTTGTTGCTTTCTGAGACAGGGCTTCACTCTGTCACCCAGTCTGGAGTGCAGTGGTGCAATCACAGCTCACTGCAGCTCCGCACTCCTGGGCTCAAGCAATCCTCCCACCTCAGCCACTTGGGTAGCTGGGACTGCAGGCGCACACCACCACATCCAGCTATTTAAAAAATTTTGTAGAGATGCAGTCTGGCTCACGTGTCTACTTTGGATCTCTACTGGGTATCTCCAGGACAGCACAATCCAATCCACACTCAGGATCTCCCCCTAAACCTGTCCACCCCATCCCACTGCCATCGATGGTAGTGGGCAGGTCGAGGACACCACTGCCCTCCTTGACCCCTCTCTTCCTCTCTTGCCCTGAGTTGTATTTGTCAGCAGATGCTTCTGAAATATGTCCTCCACCCACCCAGCTCTCAACACGGCCACCGCTGCCGTCCCAGCCCACAAGCTCATAGCCCTTTCCTCCCGAAGCACCTCCTGTTTCTCCACTGGGGCACGCCAGTCTCCTCTCAAGGCAGGTGCAGCTTACCCTGCTCACCCTCCCCTCCCCAACTGCATGGGCTTGGTCACTCTGTAAGGGCACGTGCCAAGCACTGTCTCCTTCAAGGGGCTAGGCCTTCTGTGGAGCGTCCTCCCTGAGATGTCTCACATTCACCCTCAATTCTCTGAGGTCTCTCAGCTGGCACTCATGCAGGCCTCCCTGGCCGCCCATCTGTAATTCCAGCCGGCCTTCTCTCCACACACACACCTTCCCTGCTTGACTTTCCTTTTTAGCACTTATCTCTAATTTCTGTTTTAATGACTTCTAATTTTACTCTATCTTGTTTCTTGTTAGTTTCCCTGCTAGAACCATGCTTCTTGCAGGTAGAGATTTTTTTTCTATTTCATTCAATGCCAGCACCCAGGCACTCTTTATAGGCACCTGGCACACAGTAGGCACTCAATAAATATTGCTGAGTAAGGGAATGAAATTTATCTGTCCCCATTAGAAGGCTGACCAAGGTCACAGCGCCAGGAAATAACACAATAGACCTAGAGCCCAGACCTTCCTGTCCTATCAGCAACCCTGCTGTGGTAATGCAGTGCCGCAGGTGCTCAATAGATGCCTGACGAAGGAACGGCCGTCCCAGGCAGGCGCCTCTCTCCAGGGAAGGCCACTATTTCACTTTAAAGCGACCTAAGCTCCATCTGTTCAATCCTCCCCATGAATCCAAGGATTTGTTTAGGAAACAAATGAAGTCTTTTCTGTCTCAACTTCCAAACTACTTCCTTTCCCCTTCTGTTGGGTGTTGGGGCCACACTGCACAGATCTGGCGGGATGGCCCCAGCAGCCTGAGCCTGTGTGGGACTGAGCGGCCACACAGGCAGGGAGAGGACACAAGAACAGCTTTCCTTGATCTGGCCAGTCCTAAACTCCTTGGGGTGGGGGCCTGGAACCACCTCCTAGGGGCACAAGAACCATGTCCTTCTTTAGGGAAAACGTGGCAAGCCAGGTGACCTGGAGGGAAGGGGATTCCTCTGTCATCCGCCTCCTGTGCCAGCCCTGGGGGACAACGTGAGCCCTATCTCCTGTCTGTGTCATCTCTCTCTGAAAGGCCTGGCTTGCCTTGGCATCCTTCCCTGCACCCAGTGGAGAGGCGTGCTGTAGACCCTGATCCAGACGGGATGATGAGAGCTCCGAGGTGAGCCAGCCCTGGGCGCACACTCGCAGTGTCTGGGAAACGCATCACCTTCTCCTGACCTGTCCATGCGGCTTTTCTGCTGTGGCACAGGGTGGGGCCTTCTCAGCAAGGGAAACTTGGGGAGGAGAGCACCCACTGCTCTACAGCTGAAAGCTCTGTCCTGCCCCAGATAAGCCCACCAGCCTCTCGTTCAAAGGGGATAAGTGGGGAGGGCGCCATTATCAGCTCTGTCACATGCAGGCTGTGTGACTGCACACAAATAACTTCCCTGGGTACTGGTGCTTCTAAATATGGCCTTCAACAGGAAGCAGGCAGGGGGAGAAGAGCTCAGAAAACCAGCTCCAGCAGCATGCTGAGCCACAGTCTCCCTAGCCTCATGACTGCTCTCCTAAGTGAGCCCTCCTAGAGCCCTGATGTCCCTAAGCAAGCCCTTCCTGTGTCCTATGTCCCTAAGTGAGCCCTCCCAACACCTTATGTCCCTAAGTGAGCCCTCCCAGCACCCTATGTCCCTAAGTGAGCCCTCCCAGTGCCCTATGTCCCTAAGTGAGCCCTCCTGGAGCCCTGTGTCCCTAAGTGAGCCCTCCCAGCACCCTACGTCCCTAAGCGAGCCTTCCCGGCGCCCTATGTCCCTAAGTGAGCCCTCCTGGCGCCATATGTCCCTGAGCCCTTCCAGCATCTTCATGTCCCTAAGTGAGCCCTCCCAGCACCCTATGTTCCTAAGTGAGCCCTCCCAGCACCTTATGTCCCTAAGTGAGCCCTCCCAGTGCCCTATGTCCCTAAGTGAGCCCTCCCGGAGCCCTATGTCCCTAAGTGAGCCCTCCCAGCACCCTACGTCCCTAAGTGAGCCCTCCCAGTGCCCTATGTCCCTAAGTGAGCCCTCCCGGAGCCCTATGTCCCTAAGTGAGCCCTCCCAGCACCCTACGTCCCTAAGTGAGCCCTCCCGGTGCCTTATGTCCCTAAGTGAGCCCCCCCCCAGCATCTTATGTCCCTAAGTGAGCCCTCCCAGTGTCCTCATGTCCCTAAGTGAGCCCCCCCAGTGTCCTTATGTCCCTAAGTGAGCCCTCCCGGCACCCTAATTTTCCTAAGTGAGCGTTCCTGGCACCCTCATATCCCTAAATGAGCCCTTCCCATGCCCTCCTTACCCTAAGTGAGCCCTCCCAGTTCCCTAGTGTCTGCATGTGTGCTCTCTCAGTGCTCCTGGGGTCTCTCCTGCTGGGCATACCTGGTGGGATGCTGGGAAAGCCCTGGCTTTTGTAGATGGTAGCTACGCTCCTATATTTTGCGGCTGCCAGACTGAATGTATTTGCTCCAGGGCAACTAGAACCCAGGGTCTGGGTTGGCATCAACACCTGTGTCCTCACTGCAAGGCACAATCTTACCCAGGAGCCCAGAAGACACAAAGGAACCCCGCTCCCGCAGCCAAGCTCTTACCTGTCCTGACTCCTCTCCGTCACCCGACTCACGGTGGTGGAGTGTGTGATTCGGGCTTGCACCCTCTGCTGGCCTGAAACAAGAGACACTTCATTCTCTGAGTCCTGCCCTGCACCTGTCGCGTCATCCTGCCTGTTAGAACCTGGCAGCTTCTCTTCTGACCTCTGACCTTCCTCCTGTTCAAGCAAATCGATAAGGCCATTTGTGGCATCTGAATCCACTGTGTCGTCCTCCACAAGTTCCAGAGAGCCCAGCTCAGGGGCCCGTGGTTCCTCCGAGAGCGCCCCCTCCAACTTCCACTCGTGACCTGTGGCGTCAGAGTCCTCGGCCTTGCTGCACTCCAGAGAGGAGTCCTCAGCAGTGACCAGGGAGGGTGTGAGGCCGGCAGACCACACCTGCATGTCAGACATCTCCAGCATGGTGTCATGCTCCGTGGCCGCCAAGGGGATGGCGTCTAGGACGGCCACCTCGTTCCAGTACTGGTCTGCACGTAGCGGAGAGGAAAGCGCGCAGCCCAGGGAGGCAGGGGACAGCAGCTCGTCCTGCAGCGAGGAGTAACCTGGATGGGCAGACAGAGGGCAACATGCTCCAGCAGCAATTCCGGTCCCACGTGCTCACGTGCAGGTCCACGCACATGCACACGCAGGCGCGGCCACAGAGGTACATGCATTTTTGGGGTAGAGTGGGGGATTTCCAAGCTCCAAGCCCAATGCTCAGGCCTTGTGGCTGCTGCCTGGGCATCCAGGCAAGAGAAGCAAGGCTCTGAATTGGGTGGGGGCAGCCAGGGCGTGAGGCAGAGAAGGGGGAGCTCCCTGCTGGATGGCAAAGAGGAGAAGGACTATTTCTTATCCAGTTCAGAGCACTAGATAAAGAAGTATTTATCCAAAGGACTTGTGCTCCAATCTCTCACTGATCCCATGAAGGCTCCACTTCTCCACGGCTGGGCAGAAATAGACGTTGCACCTCACACAAAACTTCATTTTAGCTCAGTTCTTAGGTTCTCAGTTAGGGATGTACCTTAAAGGGAAGGAAATTCCACCCAGAACCAGGGGTAGTAACCAGGGTGCCCTTGAGGAGCCTACTGGGGTACACCAAACACCCATAGACCTCTGTGCAGTGGTCAGTGGGAAATAGCCTTCTGGTGTGGCCAGGTGTCACTTTCCTCAAGTTGCTTGCTGGTTCCAGAAACTCTGAATGATTTAAAGTGCCAAAGGGGAGGGCTCTTATGGCTAAAAAAGGGCATGGTCAGAAGGCACCATGAGACACCAGGTCCACCCACCCCAAAGCCCTGCATCCTTGAGCCCTGAGCTATTTGCCCCAGATGCAGGTCAACCCTGACCTGGTGGGAAGGGAGCCAGCTCGCTCAGGCCCTGAGTGCACGGCTGATAGTTGCCATGGCCTGTCCATCTGCTGTTCCCTGCTCCTGGCTGGGACAGTGGTCCCTGATTGTGTTCTGGTTGGCTTAGGCACTGGCTTCTTGATGTTCAGAAGTGACCGTGACACTGAGTGAGTGACATGCATGCACGTGGGCATTTGTGGGGATGTCAGCGCTCCATCCAGGGCTTCTCAGCTCTCCTCTGGCTGGGAGAAGGGACCTCTGCTACAGGAGAATGAGGTCTCTGATGCCCCATTCAGAACAGTTGCTTCTGTGGGTGGGAGAAGGGATGAGGAGGCAAGACTCTTCAATGGGCTTGGCCTGTCTGGGAAACCAGGAAGCAAGTAGGTGCTTACAGCAGCTGGAGAGCCCAGAGCTGAAGGGGGACCCTGGGGAACTTCCTGACATCCTGAGATGTCCAGACACCCTGAGAGTTCAAACCTAGTCCAAATACTCGATTCTGCCCTTCAGACTCCCCCCTCCCGACTCACATCCAACAGCCCCTGAGCTGTGTCTTGATTCCATCCAGGCAGGCTCTTTCCTTGCCCTCTCACCCTCTGCTCAGGGCCTCAGCTCCTGCTCACCTACTCCCCTGCTTTTACATCACTAGCTCCATTTATTCTCATCCACTCACTATACAACCAAAATACAGATGTGATTACATGCCAGGCACTGTGCTAGGGGAATGGGGGTGACAAACCTCAAACACACACACACACACACACACACACCTCCCCACACACAAATACACATCCACTCATGCACGCACACACTCATACCCATACACCCACACATACACACACACCCACACACAAATACACACACCCACACACAAATACACACACCCACAAATACACCCACCCACTCACAATCACCCTCTCACACACACCCACATACAATCACCCGCTCACACACACACACACCCTCTCTCTCTCTCACACAGGTGGGACAGCTTTTCGTCTCATGGCATTTTCCCAACTTCAGCTCCTGTTGCTCCCCATCTCCGAGGCTATCCTAGGCCCCTCGAGAAGGCAGTTCATGGAAATGCAAACCCTTGAGGACAGGGCGGATGTCTGCCTTCCTCTCCCCACCCTTCCCCGACAACAGGATTGGGCCTCCACGCGTCCCATCACCACAGCAGAGCTCTCCAGGTGTGTGAGAGGACTCAGCAGCTGGAACAGAAAGACCTCAGGCTCATTTAGTGGAACCGCAGCTGCGATCATGTACCTGTGTGTTCAACGTGCTGGAGCCATGCTGTGCGCTCCGCATGCATTCTCTTAATTGCCCCAGGAAAGTTTTCTTCCCTACAAGTCTATATGGTTCCAGGTCCCAAATGAGCGGGGAGGATGAGCCCATGAAGGTGGGGTGGCTGGGAGCAGGGCTGCACGGCCGCAGAGACTGAGGGAAACCCATTTTAGCTCTGGCCAAACTAGGCAGAGCAGGAGGAGGGAGTGGGAAGAGTAGGTGAAATGGGTAGGTCACATCTTACCATGCCATGGCCTTCAAGCTCTTAACAGAAATCCCTCCAGATATACAAAAGCAGGACATTTTAGGGTCAAGTGATGATTACTTTTCCTCTTACTCTTTTGAGAACTTTATAGTATTGACATCACTTTCTGAGCTTTTTTTTTAGCCAGAGTCTTGCTGTGTCGTCCAGGCTGGAGCACAGCAGTGCAATCTTGGCTCACTGTAACTTCTGCCTTTCAGATTCAAGTGATTCTTCTGCCTCAGCCTCCCCACTGGGAATAGTTAGCATTACACGTATGTGCCATCATGCCCGGCCAATTTTTATATTTTTAGTAGAGACGGGATTTCACCCTGTTGGCCAGGCTAGTCTCGAACTGCTGACCTAAAGTGATCCACCTGCCTCAGCCTCCCAACATGCTGGGATTACAGGCCTGAGCCACTGCACCCGACCACTGAGCATACTTTTAGTGCAAACCATATCTAATGTCTTATTTTTAATTGCCACAACAACCCTACAAGGAAAAGAATGTGGTTCCTACTTTACAGATTAGGACACTAGAGGTTTAGCAATTTGCAAAAGGCCAAACAGCTAGTAAGTCTGGTCTTTTCCAAAGACTTTGCCATTAATCTCTTTGAGAAATAGTTTTGTTGAGGTTTGGTTGACATTCAGTATATCTAAAATGCATATCTTTAGAGAGGGTGAATTGGTACATTGTGATATGTGTGTACACCCATGAAGCCAGCACCTCAAAGAACAGAAAGGACATTTGTCACCCCAGAACGGCCTTCTCATGTTTCTTTGTAATCTCTTCCTCCCCCTTCCCTCCCCACTCCAAACCATTCCCAGGTGACCACTGATCTGCTTTTTGTCATTATACATCAGTTTGCATTTCTCAGGATTTACATAAATGGACTCATACAGTATGCACTCTGTTTCTGTCTTTTTTTTTGGCCTGGCGTCTTTCACTCAATATAATCATTTGGGTTTCATCCATGCTGATGCATGTATCAGTAATTTTTTTCTGTTGCTAAGCCACAGCCCATTAGATGGCTATACCACGGTTTGTAAATCTATTTACCTGCTAATGGACATTTGGGTTGCTTCCAGTTTGTGGCTATTACACATAAAGCTGCTAGTCTGTATGAACATAATGCTTTCTTTTCTCCTGGGTAAATACCTAGGAATGGAATGACTCAATCGTACGATAGGTATCTGTTTAACTTTGTAAGAAATGATCAAGTGGTTGCACCATTTTGCATTCCAACCAGCGGCGTATGAGAATTCCAGCTCCCCCATGTCCTCACTGACACTTGGTATGGCCAGCCTTTTTAATTTTAGCCATTCTTTTAAGTGTGTGGTGGCACCTCCTTGTAGTTTTAATTTGTATTTCCTTAATGACTAATGATGTTGAGCATATTTTCATGTGATTATTTGCCATGTGTATATTCTGGGTGAAATGCCTGTTGGAATCTTTTGTCCAATTTAAAAACGGAATTGTTTTCTTATTATTACGTTTTGAGAGTTCTTTATATATTTTAATGCTGTAGCAGATGATTATTTGCCAATATTTTCTCCCACTCTGTGGCTCGTCTTTCCATTTTCCTAACAGTGTATTTGAAGTTTTGATTCTGATGAAGCCCAACTTGACAATTTTTTCTTTTATAGATTGTGCTTTTGGTGTTGTATGTGAGAAATCTTTGCCTTAACCAAGATCTTTAAAGTTTCTTTCTTTTGTTTTCTTCCAAAAGTTTTATAGTTTCAGATATTACATTTAATCTATGACCCATTTAGAGTTGATTTTTGTATACAAGGTAAGAATCCAAGTTCACTTTAGTTTAGATTTTTTGCATAAATGTTCATAAATGATATTGGTCTACAGTTTTCTTGTTAAATGTCTTTTTTCCTAATATCAGAGTAATGCTGGCCTATTAAACTTAGTTGAGAAGTAATTTCTCATTTTCATTTTTCTCAACAAATAGTTTCTTCCTTAAATATTTAGTAGAATTCACCAGTGAAGCCATCTGGGGGTGGACTTTTCTTTGTAGGAATGTTCCAAACTGTACATTTAATGTCTTTCATTTATATGGGGCTGTATCTATTTCTTCCTAAGTGAGCTTTGATAGTTTGTGTCTTTCAAGAAATTTGTTGATTTCACCTGCTTTCCAATTTATTGGCATAAAATTATCAAAATATACCTTTATTGTCCTTTTACTAACTATAGACTCTGTAAATCTTCTATAGCTAGTATATATTCCTGAAATATAACTGATATTGGTAATCCGCAGGTCTTTTCTTTTTTATCATCAGTCTGGCTGGAGGTTGATTAATTTTATTGATGTCTTCAAATCACCAGCTTTTGGTTTCATTATTTCTCCATGTTTTTCTGCTTTCTATGTCACTGATTTCCACTCTAATCTTTATTATTTCCTTTATGATTTTGGGTTCAAATTGGTCTTCTTTTTCTAATTTCTTAAGGTAGAAGCTGAGGTCACTTGAGAACTTTTTTCTTTCCCAGTGTAGACACTGAGTACTTAAATCTTCCCCTAAGTACGGTTTTAGTGGTATCCCATAAATTTTGATATTTTGTGTTTTTATTTTCGTTCAGCTCAAAATATTTTACAATTTCCCTTTTGCTTTCTTCTTTTACCTAGATGGGTGACTTAAAAGTATATTATTTAATTTCTAAATATTTGGGATTTTCTAGATATTCTGCTAT